TATGGGGATGGGGATGGGGATGGGGATGGATGGATGGATGGATGGATGGATGGATGGATGGATAGATGATAGATGATAGATGATAGATGGATGGATGGATGGATGGATGGATGGATGGATGGATGGATGGATGGATGGATGGATGGATGATAGGGATAGGGAGATATAGTGCTGGAGAAGATTCCTGTGAGTCCCTTGGACTGCAAGGCAATCAAACCGGTCAGTCCTAGAGGAGATCAACCCTGACTGCTCTTTAGAAGGTGAGGTCCTGAAGTTAAAACTCAAATACTTTGGCCACCTAATGAGAAGGAAGGACTCACTGGTGAAGAGCCTAATGCTGGGAAACATTGTGGACAAAAGAAGAAGGGGACGACAGAGAATGAGGTGGCTGGATGGAGTCACCGAAGAGTAGGCGTGAGCTTAAATGGACTTCAGAGGATGATAAAGGACAGGAAGGCCTGGAGGAACATTGTCCATGGGGTCACAATGGGTCGGACACGACTTCACAACTAACAACAGCAACAGAGAGAGGGGGGAGGGAAGGAGGGAGTCAGACAGACAGACAGACATAGATACAGATACAGATATAGATACAGTACATGCATACACTTTTGAGAGCATCAAAATTCTGGCATCAGAATTTCATTTTTTAACCTGTGCCAATGCGTTCACAGAAAAAAAAAAGTGACAACAAAGAAGCTCGGATCCAAGATATCTTACAAGTATTGCAATTAAAAAAATATATCTTGGATCCGAGCTTGTCCTGGCTTTACCTTGTACAGGTTGATGGGAATATCGATGAGGATGAGCAGCAGGTCCCCCAGAGCCAGGCTGGCGATGAGGATGTTGGGGCCGTTCCTCATGCATTTGTTCTTGTAGATGATTCGGAGCAAGGTGGAATTGCCGATGATGCCCAGCACGAAGACCAGGCAACCGATCACCGTGTTAATGTATTTGAAAGTATTCTTGATCTCCGTCCGGCTGGTGCACGCCGGGTAAAGCGCTCGGCCAGCCCCGCCTGGCGATCCCGGGCGAGAAGCGTTGGAACCCCCGAAGCTTTCCTCCACCACGGGCGCCGCGGTCGTCCAGGAGAAGCCGGCCAGGCTATGCGCGGTGATCTCGGCCCGGCGCGGCGAAGAGTTACCCAGCTCCAGCGCTCGGGTGCTGCCCGCGCAGTACACGAGGGTTGCCGAGATCCAAAAGCCCCACAGGAGGCGCCCAGCCATGGTCGCAGGGCAGCTCCGACAGAAGGAAGCGCAAAAAAGAAAAGCCACCCGTAGGATAAGGCGCAGCTGCTACGGAACCCCTCGCTTCGGCTGGCAGCGGGTTCCTCTGATAGCAGCCAGGCGGAGCACGTGCGCCCAGCCGGACCCAGCGAGCCAAGCCGTCTGACCGAGCCCGGCTTTACGCGCTGTCGGGAAAAGGAAAAAAGAAAAAAAAATCCCGGGGAGAGGCGGATGCCTGGAAAGAAGACGATTCGCTCGGGCCGAGAAACGTCGCTTCCTGGATAAACACAGCTCGAAGCGCCTCTGCTTTGAAGAGGCTTTCGCGGGCGCGAAGCCAGTGCTGGGGAAAGAGGAGGGGGGCGCAGACCTCTGGCTTGACTAGACGTTCAGTTATCTGACATGGTAATCGGTGCGCCTGCTTGAGCTGGGAGCTGATTTAGAAGACCTCCCGAATAGAATAGGAATTGGAATAGAATAGAATAGAATTGGAATAGAATAGAATAGAATTGGAATAGAATAGAATAGAATTCTTTATTGGCCAAGTCTGATTAGACACACAAGGAATTTGATGCAACAGATTATTCNCCCTGAGCCGGTGAGATTTGAACCGCTGACCTGCTGATCTAGCAGTAGCCTGCAGTGCTGCATTTAACCACTGCGCCACCTTGGCTCTTGGCAGCAGGCCTGCCATCATTTCACCTCCTGCTGATGAAAGCCAAAACACACTGGGCAGGCCATGTTGCAAGGATGCCAGACCATCGCATCCCCAAACAGCTGGTCTATGGTGAGCTGTCTCAAGGAAAGCAATCACACAGGGGACAAAGGAAGCGATACAAAGATACATTGAAAGCCTCCTTCAAGTCCATGGAAAATGACACCACCTCCTGAGAAACCCTGGCACAAGAGCGATCAACATGGCGCACACTGATCCACCAAGGCTACCAGGCATCTGAGGACAGAACAACCATAGCACAAGAGAAGCGAGAACTCGGCAAAGCCAGAGCTGCAAATGCTGCAACAATGGTGCCCACACATGTCTGCCCGACATGTGGCAGAACATTTCATGCACGTAAAAAGCCTTACTATCCACCTGCGGACACATCATGGACAGCTCACAACCTGTTAGAAGCCAAGGTCCTCTTCGAACACAATGGATGAACATCATCACCTACGTTGTACTTTCAAGACTTGCCTTTTTGTCCTTTTTGCCTGGATCTGATGACAGATTATTGGTCTAGTAAAGTCCGTATGTTAAATCTTTGATTGGACTATAATAATTATTCCATTTGTAAGAGTGTCAGCTTCATACTGTAATAACCCTGAATCATTTTAATAGTTCCATTGTCGTATAAATTTGTAATAACAGTCTTGGAAATAAATAAGTTGGGACATGTCTTGGAAGATCTATGTGACTTGGACACATGTGTCTGGCTTTGAGAACTGTGTACAGCTGTGCATATCTGAAGGACTATTGGGAAGATTTGTTTTGGATCTCGCACAAATATTAAAGCTGATATAAATCTTAAAGTGGTGACATCATCCCTCCCCCGAATGCTAAAAGGGCTGCTTTGATGGACGGTAGAGTATTTGTCAGGTTTCCAAAACATGCCCTAATTAATTCATGAGCCTCGAGCCACATTTCAAAAGAAAACCACTCATTTATTACGAACATCATTGTAGATATTGTAGATTCAAATAACTTCTCAATAATTTTTTGAGGGATACTCTTCAATTATGCTATGCATGTGAAGTGGGCCTCTTATTTACCTCAATATCAATATAACTACGATAAATTTTAATTATGATTACAACTGTTGCTATGATGCATATGCCTGGTGAAGACAAAGCCATTTCAAAGAAGACTTGATGACCAACTGAATGACATAAATATTAGCAATTATTAATTAGCAAGCCAGTTTGGTATTGTGGTTAAAATGCTGGCCACGAAATCAGGAGATTGAGTTCTAGTCCCTCCTCACGCATGAAAGGTTGGTGGATGACCTTGGGCCAGTCACTCTTTCTCAACTCAACCCATGTCACAGGGTTGTTATTGTGGGGAAACTGGGAGGAGTATTAGGTATCCATGCTACCTTGAGTTATTTATTAAAAAAGAAATAATAAAAGTGAGGATATAAAGTAATTCCAATTCATGAAAGTTCTCGTAAAACAGCATTTTTTCCTCCAAACCAGCATCTTTCAGTTGTTTTGTACTGCAAATCCACATTTTTCCTCTCCTACGCCAGTGTTGGCGAAACGTTTCATCACCGAGTGCCAAAACGGGAGTGCACACATGCCAGAAACCAGAGGGAGCAGATGCCTGGCACACAGGCAGACACCGAGATGGCTGCTCTTCTGGTTTCTGGCAAGTACATGTACACTGGCCACCCTGTCTTCCGGTTTCTGGCACCCATGTGCGTGCAAAGACTATCTGGCCAGTAAACATGCGAGAAACCAGAAGAGCACCCACACAGTGTGCATGTGTGTGCCAGCTGGTCTTCACACGCAAATGCGCACCAGAAACTGGAAGACCAGGTAGCCGGTGTGCATGTGCACACCAGAAACCAGAAGAGCAGCCGCCCGCTGCATGCATGTGTACTGGGCAGTTGCTCTTTCAGTTTCTGGCGCTCTCGTGTGCATGAAGACAAGCTGGGCGGAACCCGAAAGAGCAAAAGGCTTGCTTGCCCAGACAGATGGCTCTGCATGCCACTTGCGGTATGAGCCGAGGTGGCGCCGAGGTGGCGCAGTGGTTAGGGTGCAGTACTGCAGGCCACTTTAGCTGACTGATCTGCAGTTCAGCGG